TATTTTAAAAGTAGTCTAGTAAGTTAGAGTCTATAAAAATAGGGTTCCTTTCTTTTCTAAGGTAATAATAGGTATAAGGATTTACAAGAATTCTTTAATAAAGTATTAGTAAAATCTAGTAAATCTTATAAAATTCTTAATATTAATAACTATTTTAAATAATTTTTAATTTATTATAATCTTAATCTTCTTAAGATCTATATAAGTACTTTCTCTTCTAATAATAATATTTAGAAACTTAACTTCTAGCTAGTAAAATTTATACTTAAATATTTTTATATATAGGTTATTATTTCTTAGGATTTATAATATTTATCTTAAATATTTAGTATATTTTTTTTTTTATATAGCTATAAATTAGAATATTATTTAAAAATATATTATAGAATATATCTATATATTATTATAGGATATTATTTATAAAATATTAGAAAATAATTAGGGTACTAGTTAGACTAAATAATATAATTAGAGACTTATATAACCTAAAATAGATTTAAAAAATAATTAGGTATTCTAACCCCTTCTTAATATAGATATTATTAAAGGTAGCTATTAAATTAATCTTAAAGAAATATTATATTCCTTATAGGTTATTTAAAGTTTTTTTAATTAGGGATAATAAATAATAATTCTTAATTAATATAGTATTTAGTCCTTAATAATCTATATATAGGTAAAGGCTACCTCTAGGTTTATTAATAAATAAAATAGAAAAGATAACTAGAAATAAGCTAGAATATATAAAATCTTTTTTTAAATTCTTTTCTAACTATTTCTTTAGAATAATTAATTATACTTATAATATTAGATATAATTTATTAAATAGAGACTATTTTTTTTTTTAAATCTTAATATTATAATTATATAATTAATATAGTAGTAACTTCTTTACTTCTTAGGGATTAAATATATCTTAAAAATCTTATAATTTTAGGAAAAGTATAAGTAATAATTTAGGACTAGTATCTCTATACTCTAGTTTTTTATTAATTTTATTTAATAAGGTCTAGTATAGTTTCTATACTAGATAGTAGGTATATATAGCTAGTACTTTTAAGAATATTTAGTATATTTCTATAAATATAAGAGATTTTAATTTTAGTAATTCTTTTTATTAATTTAGTTATTTAAATTAATCTTTCTAGAGAATATTTATTAGAATTCTTATTCTTATAAATTTAAAAAATATATTATAGTATTTATAGTAATATTAGCTATTAAATATAATTATTTAATTAGAGAAATATATCTTTAAATTATATATAATAAGCTAGGCTAGTCCTAGAATAATTAAGTAGTAGAAAAAATAGATAATATAAAAAATAGATTTCTAATTATAATAATTATTTAATAATAAATTAGCTTTTATATAATAAGTTATTATATTTTTTTCTATCTTTTTATTATAGAAGCTAGATAAAAATATTAAATAAAAAAGTAAAATAATTTTTAATTTATATATTTTTATTTATTAATAATCTATAAAATTAATTTCTTTAATTCTAGAATTAATTATAATATAAGTTAGTATTTTTAAATTTTCTTAATATAATTATACCTATTATACTATTAAGTTAGCATGTATATAATAAGGATTAGAGAAGTTAATTAATTTAGTAATAATATAGAATAAATAGAGTAATATATTTAGTAGTAAGGGTTTCTATATATATTCTAGTATTAAATAGTAATTATAGCTAAGTAGACTCTATTTTCTAAATTAAGTAGGATATTAGGGAAGTATAATTAATTAAATTTTTTTAGGGTAATAAAGTAGTTATTCTATACTATAATATAAGAAGTAGGTAATACTATAGTAAAGATTAGGCTAGAATAATATACTAGTATATTTATTTACTCTTAAATTTATATAAGATATTAATTAGATAAAGAGTAGTTCTTTATATAATATACTTTATTTCTATAGTAGAAATATTTCTTATACTTATATTATTTTTTTCTAGAAGAGTATAATATATAGTAGGTATAGAATAAATCTATAGTATCTAAATTTTTTCTAGGCATGGGGGGTATGACTAGGTAACTAGATAGGATAGAACTAGAGAGATTTCTTAATATTACTAGGCTAGAGTAATAGGAACTAGATATTAAGTAAGAATAAGATATTTATAACTAGTATTAATAGTAATAATTTTTTAGTAATTAAAGATAGTTAGTATATTCTTAGAAATCTTAAAATAAGGTAGGATTATAAAGTAATATATCTTAGAATTTAATTAAAATATTTTAAGTTAGGAAAAGTATTAGAGAGTTATTAAGTATTTTTTTTTCTAAAATAAAATAATAGAACTCTATAAAATAAGTACTAAAGTTTAAGTTTCTTTATTTCTAATTATAGAGGTAGTTTTAAGTATTTTAAATTTAATTAAAATCTTTAAATATTATTTCTAGATAATTAAGCAGGTTAAGATAATCTAGAAATTAAAGAATATTAAGTCTTATCTTAAGCAGGATTAATTTATAAGCCTTTTTAATTAGATATCCTATTATATAAGTTAGTTAGGCTTTAATAGCTAGAAAATAGTCTAGATTAGTATCTATTTTATTATAGATTTATTATATAAAATAGTAGAAATTAGAATAAATATTATTAAACTCTTATAGATTAAAGAGTTTCTTACTAAAATAGATATTAGAAAAAGAATTAGTAAAAATAGATATAAGTACTTTTATTATATTAGCTACTATAATTTTAATAAGGGGAGTATATTTAATAAGAATAGGGATAATAATAGAAATAAGTATAATAAAAATAATAATAATTTATAATATAATAAATATATACTTAAATTTAATTAATTTTTATTAAATTATTTCTAGTTCTTTCTTCTAGTATAGTACTATTCTCTCTTTTTTAGCTAGCTCTAGGCTAGTTTTATTAACTTAGTTTTAGAAGGTATGAATCTCCTTTTTTAAAAAATTAATATATTTATTATAGAATTTAAGATAAATAATTTAAGTAGTAAAATTATTAATAATATAATTTATAAACTCTTTAATTAAATCTATAATTAGGAATAATTTAGGTTATTTTAATATACTAGTAATAGCTATATTTAGGGTAAGAGCTATATAATATTATGGGAAGTAAGTAGGTAGTAAGTATAGCTAATAGCAGGGTATATATTCAGGCTATCTATATATAGGTATAATAGGTAGGGGTTAGGTCAGGATAAGGATATAGCTTGAAGAGCTATAATAGGATTAGGGGTAATATGGCTTAAATATAGGAGTAGAGGCGGACAGTTAGGGCAGAATCTAACCAGATAGGTACACGGCTACGCCGTGACACTAACTAACTAATTTTAATAAGTAAAATAATATAATATATCTACTACTCCAAGCCTTATATAGATTATAATAGTTAGTATTTCTTTAGTATAAGAAATTCTATAATATTCTAGTAAAAATTAGTATAAAGATAATTAATAAAGATCTATATTTTTACTATAATCTAGACTAGTAGCTAATACTTATTATCTATATTAATAATATAATAGTTACTAATCCTAATAAAGTAAATATTTAATAATTTATAGATAAGCTAGAAAAATATTTTAAATTAAAGTAACTAGGTAAACTTATATAATTCTTAGAATATAATATTTATAGACTACTTAGTAATCTAATATTAATATCTTAATATATATATATCTAAAAGATACTTTATAAATAGAATTTTTATAATCTTTAATTATATTATATACTAATAACTCTAGAATAGAAATTAACTAGAAAAATACTAGATACTAGTAATATTATTTTAGATACTATATATACCTCTACTAGTAAAGATAATATTACTTACTACTAGGAATTAACTAGATCTTTAAATTAGATTATTATTTAGACCTAACTAGATATTTAATATATAATAATATAACTATTATAAAGAAATTATAATCCTAGTAAGTTAGACTATAATATAATTAAATAAGTTTTCTAATATTTAAAGAAGATCTTAAACTATATAATAATTTTAAATTATTTAAATAATCTATTATATATATATATTAATACCTCCTATATAGATTATAAAGATAAAAAATTAATAAAAGACTTTATATTTTTTATATTTAGAGTATTAATTATATAAAGATTAGTAAAATAATTATTAATTATTTTAAATTTAATTATTACTAAATTTATTATATAAGATACTATAATAAAGCTAGCTATATAATTATAAAAGCTATATATAGCTATTAGACTAGAAAAGTTTATAAAAGATATTATACTTTTATATATTAATTTTACTAATATTATTACTTTAATAAAGAAATTAAATTATATATCTATACTTTATTAGATAAATATTTATTACTTCTTTATAAAAAAAGTAATTAAAAATAGTAGAATTTAATTATAAATAGTTAGTAGAGAGGATAATATTATTAACAGGCTAATTAAGGTACTATTAACTATAAAATTTAATAAATTTATCAAGAGGTTAGGTTTTAGCAGGTTAGAGATAGACTCTAAATAGCTTTATATAATAAATATATTACTAAGGGGGGTATATTAGAGTACTATACTTAGTAAATATAACCAGTACTACTATAAAGCAGCACTACTATAAAGTAGATAGCAACACATGACTACCCAGTATATTTAAGCTACTATTTCCTTCTAGATCTTTATACTTCTTCCAAGCATCTCTCCTTCTCTATTTTCCTAGTTAGACCTAATTGAATTCATTTCAGTCAACTCTCTACCATCATAGTTTGACGACCTTCATCAGTATATATTAAGGACGGTTGTTCAAGTAGTAAAGTCACAACCTCACGAACATTGGAAATACGTGAATTAGTAACCCAGCTATCTCTTGAGAGATATTCCAGATCCTTAGGCTGCATGGATTCTTTGGTTAGGGCCCCTGTACGCTCATATATTGATCTTCGCCAGCGCGCTCGCTCACGAAGATGTGTTAGATTTCTGGATACGTTGATTATGGGCTCTGCACCCTCCGAATGAAACTATGAAAGCCGTTGAGATTTGTTTATAATATTAGTAACTATGAGCTGAAATGCATCGTGTTGAATACAGGTTGTCAATTGTGGATCCCAGGAAATAATTTGTTGGCATTGTTTGTCCTTTGGATAATATTCTCGCCGCGGCGTGAGGTTTAAAATTGAAGTCAGAATGGTGACCAGATCTGTGGCGAGAGGCGTCCATGGTTGGCAGTATCCAGATTGTAAACAGGCCAGCGCTTCCTCTATTCCTGTTCGATTTGTAAGGGGGTCTGGCAAAAAATAGGATGTGAATGCGTGTAGTTGGGCTTTTGCATAAAGGAGTCGTGGTTCAGCCGGACAATAAAGTCATCGGAGCACATCATTAATAGTATGTTGGAGTGCTGCAATCAATGCAAACAGCACTGCCATTAAGTGAGTAGTGACACGTGACTACCCAGTGTATTTAAGCCACCATTTCCTTCCAGATTTCCATGCTTCTTCCAAGCATCTCTCCTTCTCTCTATTTCCTAGTTAGACCAATTAAATCCATTTTAGTCAACTTTCTACTATCATAGTTTGACGACCTTCATCAGGTTATGAGCCCTCCCTGAGGTTCTAATTCATGCTTCTTAGACCTCGAAAAACTCTTATCAGACCCCTGTGCTAGAAAACAATCTACTACCTAATTGGTTAGAGATCCTGGCTGCAAAAGGAGCTCTACACAATCGCTACTTCAAAGTGTTCTATTTAGACACAAATTCTGGTTGCAAAAGGAAGAGAGCAACAACTCCACCAAAAGCAATAGTCAAAGTATTCTATTTAGACACAAATTCTGGTTGCAAAAGGAAGAGAGCAATAACTCCACCAAAGAAGCAACAGTCAAAGTATTCTATTTAGACACATTATTTGGCCACTTTAATTAAAGTTTGGTCATGAAATTTGGTTACCAAAATAAGACAAGATTTAACCCAAAGATAGCAAGCAAATCTTTAATTATTGACAAAGAGCAACTATATTAAACAGCCTTTAGAAACCTTCAACTTATACTATTACTTCCTACCTAACAATATATTCGTGGAAAGCATAATATAGAGGTTATAGATAAATATTAGGTTGCAAATAATTGGTGGAGAGGACAATATCACTAATAAACTAACTAAGGCACTACCAACTACAAAATTTAATAAATTTGTCAAGAGGTTAGGTTTTAGCAGTTTGGAGATAGACTCTAAATAGCTTCATGTAATGAATGTATCGCTAAAGGGGGTATATTAGAGTACTGCAATCAATGCAAACAGCACTGCCATTAAGTGAGTAGCAACACATGACTACCCAGTGTATTTAAGCCACCATTTCCTTCCAGATTTCCATGCTTCTTCCAAGCATCTCTCCTTCTCTCTATTTCCTAGTTAGACCAATTGAATCCATTTCGGTCAACTTTCTACTGTCATAGTTTGACGACCTTCATCATAGTATATCTCGCATATGACCCTTTATTTTCTATACAAACAAGGACATGGTTATGATGACGCTTAGCGAAAACTTGCCCCAGAGGAATGATGATGCTACGCTGGGATCGATCCCACACATCGCGAAGAACCATCATACTTTGAAGTCCGTACAGTGTTCCCGGGTCTTGGTTCGGATCTACGACTGAACCGAGTTGCCGACATTGAAGAAGTCCCTTATCGTTAACAAAGAAATCAAGATCTAATTGCTTTAATTCGACGGAGAGCTTCCCTCTTGGTGGCTGGAAAATGGTGAGTCTGCATGAATACTCGAAGTGGAGGAATATCTGTGATATTGATCTGGCCAATCTAGAGAATGGATCGACTAGAATGCTTTGCCGTCTCTGGGCCCTTCTGGAATGAATATCGACAATCCAGTTACCTCCCCGTGTCTTCCAAATATGTGGCTTTCTTCTGGCTTCGAGGATCCCAGTCCTTATATAAATCCAGTGGATGCAATCGGATATCAAACTAAAAGGGAGGTCAAACTCAGGGCCATTGCCAAAGACATGTCGGGGAATTAATTCCAATATACTGTTGGATGTTCGGGCCTGTATCACTAGTTATTTGTTTTGATATCCGAGATGGACTTGATGGCCCTCTCCATGATTTGCAAGCGTGTAGTCCATCCCAGGGAGGTTTGAAGGGAAAGCAAACAGTCGCTGACTACCGAAAATTTCCTTCAAGATTTCCGAGTCCCTGACATCTGCAGGGAGTTTTCCGATTATTCGTCCGTCTATAATAAGGTGACCCTCAAGGAGATGAAAATGAATTACTTGTGGTAACGAGTACTCAGTAGCAGGGGTTGTTGAAGTGATCCAGTTTTCATAAGGGAACTGCAAAAGCCTCCACTTAGTATAGTATCTCTGGATAGTGCCTGCCTCTGGCCAAACTATATCGATCGCCAACCCCACGCTTTCGGGGTGCTTTACAACAGAATCACGAAGCAAGGGCGACAACCGAGCAGTCATTTTAACATCACGAACCAATATATTGCGAGTCGTTCTCAAAAATTTGCTCAGATCAACAACTAAACTTTCTTGCATTGCAAACGATGCCTCAAAAAAGTATTTCAGGCTTACTGCATCTAGAGGGGTCTGACTGTCGACACAGGGAGTAAATGTTCTTCGACAGAGTAAGGCCGAAAGAAAGCAATAACGAGCTGCTTGCTCTGAAACATCGGTTTCCTGGGCGTTTCGTGTTTCATTTCGCAGTATAGTTAACCAGTCCAAGGTCACTTGTCGGATTTTAAGTATAACTTTGAATAAATCTAGACACGAGTCGGGGTGACACAGAGAGTAAAGTTGGATGGCCAGGGTCAGCAAAGTTTCCATATATGTAGTTTCACGCTAGTTAGTAGTAATTGCATCGACATGTCTGACTATCTGTTCAGCAAGCCTAGTACAGAACTTAGGATCCTTGAAGATGACATGTACTGCTCTTTGGTCTTCATTGCCTAGCCTAGGACCGGCTTGCAAAGCAAGGTGATGAAATAAAACCATTGTATCCTGAAGGCTGAAGTTTACATTGGAAGATCCTAATTAAGTGAGTATAGACATCCAGCGTCTGCTCCTCCCCCCGATGAGGGTTTGATGTGCTGTGAATTCATGCGTTGTGAGTTCTGATAGGCAATCCTTGAGGCTCGCAATGACTTCATATGAAGATGGTCCAGACCCATCTATAGCAAAAGCTGAGGAGGAATACATCGCTGAAAATGGAAATTCTTTTGGAATATCTAGAGTGAAATGATGTGCGAAGGTTAGTTGATTAGAGAAATTCCTAGCCCATAATTTCTGCTTGGAGTCGTAATATGAATATTTCAACCCATGAGGGAGCAATATGTTATCGGCGCGCGCAGGGAGTCGTTTCCAATTGTAATGCGTCCCTAGGAATGACTTTGTGTGTGATGCCAAAGAAAATGACAGAACATTTTTGTTGAAATTATATCTCTTTAGTGGAGAATACTGGGAGAGCAGCGACTCTGGTTCTTCCCTGTACGAAGATACTGCCACTTTTGAACAAAGTCTGTTCATGATATTCCAAGTTGTTTCGCGATAGGCAGTATAACCTTTTGGAATATTTAATTCAAAAACAACAGCACTCTTCTGAGAAATATCTTTAGTTTCGTCTGGCAGAAATTCTTCATGAATGTTGATTCCAAGCCGCCGACGAGATCGCATATAATAGCAATGGGTGCAGCCTCGAATATCATGCATCCTGTCTAGATTTCAAAGTTATGTACAGGTGCTTTGACGAAGCTTCTTAGTGAGGTCATTGAATGTCTGATTTACTTGTTCTAGCTCAAGGTTTTTTTTTTTTTTTTTTTGTTTCTTGAAACTCCTGGGACGCATTATTGATCAACCGTTGGTGTTGACGAAGTGAAGCCCCTTCCAATTGCTCAAGGTACCTCTCGGCAAAGCAGCCAGGCACCTTTACAACACTCAGCAACCCAGGGGTACCTTTAAAGAAGGGCCCAAATTACTATAAAATCTAGTAATATATATATTTCAGACTTACTATTATATATTCTACCCCTCCCCCCCTTCTCTAACCATGTTTTAATACATGGCAAGCTAAGATAGAGGTACTAACTCCCAACTACCTACCTAGAGGTATAGACATGGCTAATTTTATATAGCTATAGGAATCTTTATCCCCCTCTAACCTATATACTATAAAGAGATAGTAAGGAAAGAGTATCCTTTACATGCCTTCTCTAGTCTATAAAGGTATTAGTACCTTAACTACTAATCCAGGCTCTACTATAAGGATCCTTTAGAGTTACCTTAATAAGGAGGAATACTAGATAAAGATATATTATAAGATACTAGTTAAGCTAGTTATTATAATAGATAAGCTTATTAATACCTAGAAAAGTTAGGATAAGAGGGCCTATATAATAATAATTTATAATAGATTTATCTAGTTTATTATTATTAAGAATTATATTATTATAGATAATTATATATTTATATATATATATAATTAGCCTATAATTATAATAATATTAGTAATCTTAAGCAAGACTTCTAGTAAATGTAAGTGTCTCACTGGCAAGGTGCTTGGGTATAGGTAGTATTAGTAAAGGAAGCAAAGCTACATGGAGTACAAGGATAGTAGGAAGGTATTAGAAGTAATAAAATAAAGTACTTGTCTTTTAGTATTTTAAGAGTTATTATATTATTATTTATATTATCTAATTAAGTTACTAGTATAGTATAAATAACTTAAAAGTTATTATTTTTCTAATTATTCTTAATTACTAGATATATAGTTTAGTATATAGTTTAATATATAATTATATATTATATAATTATTATAATAATTATCTTTTTTTTTCTTAATAGTATATCTATATACTATATATATTATACCTAATCTAGCTTAGTATTCTATTAAGAAGAAGCTAGTCTTAGTTAGTATAATATAATCTATTTTTTTATTTAATATTAAAGATAATAATAATATATATAATATTATTTTTATTAATTATATTTTATTAAATAAAATATAAATAATATTATATTTTACTTTAAATAAAATAATAAATAAGAATAAGTAATTTATTAAATATATTAATAATAAATAAAAGTATTATTATAATATAAATATTATAAGAAAATACTTTTTTATATATATTTTTTTTAGCTTAATTTATATTTTAAAAAATTCTTCTTAATAAATTAATATATTATATTAAGTAGGTTATTATTATTTAAATATTATAATAATAGCTAATTATATTATAGATCTTATAGCTCTCTTAAAGTATTCTTTATTAGATACTATACTAGCCATATCTCTATAAAAGAGAGCTTATTTAGCTATTATTATTTCTTTCTCTATAGGTACCTTTATTCTAGTAATATAGATCTATTATATTAATTATTTATAGACTCTTATAGTAAACTCTTTTATATTTATATTAATTATAATACCTATAATTTCTATTACTATTAGTATATCTTTTATAATTCTTGCTATTATTACTTTATTATTTAGTAAGATTATATTTTCCTTATTTTTTATAATTATTTCTAGTATTATAGTAACTCTTACTACCTCTTCCTTTATTTCTTTTATTATAGTAACTGTAAGAGCATGTGATTCGGGCAACATACTATACCATTGGACCAAAAGGTCACTATGATCAGACCTGATGGTCTGATCTGCCCGAATCCCACCTTATATACCCTAGTAATCATTGCCTTGGCACTAGTGCACCTAGTGCACGCCATGACAACTATCTCCTTCCTTGAGATAAGGCTTGACCGTAAGCCAACTAGCATATATTTAGTAGGGACCCCCAGCCCTAAGCCAGCTAGGCTAAGCTAAGGGCTGTGAGCAGGTAGGCGTGGTTCAAATCTGGTAGCGCAACCAGGTCTAGCAGGGGACCTCTAGCACCTATCCAGGTCTAGCAGGATTTTTAACCGAGCCCTAGCACCTATTCAGCCTAGTAGGACTCTCTACCCAACCCTAGCACCTATCTAGGTCTAGTGGGACTACCCAATCCTAGGACTTAATTATCATTATCGCACACACAATAACACTAGCCAGATTCAAACCACAGCTATCTACCCATCAGGTCTGATCATACTTGTAAGAGCATGTGATTCGGGCAACATACTATACTATTAGACCAAAAGGTCACTATGATCAGACCTGATGGTCTGATCTGCCCGAATCCCACCTTATATACCCTAGTAATCATTGCCTTGGCACCAGTGCACCTAGTGCACGCCGTGACAGTAACTCTAGCTACTCCTGCTACTATTATTATACTAGCTCCTATTATTATGCTAGCTTTTATTATTATACTAGCTCCTATTATTCTTACTATTATTATAGCCCTAGCTATTCTAATTATTTTAGTTACTTTTACTAGCCTGGCTACTATTATATAGATACTATATTACTTATATTATATTAAATCTTAATAATATATAAATAATAGTCTTATAGAAGCTTATTTTTATATATATCTAAATCTAGAATAATAGTATATTTAATATACTTATTTATATAAAAAATACTTCTCTATTATCCTGCCTGTATAGATTAATCTTAGGGAAATTTAAGTAATATCTAGTAAGGTAATAGGTATGGCAGCCTGTACCTGATAAGCTTATACTATTAAGATTTTTATCTATTATCTTAAGATTAAGGACTAGATAAAGAGATTACTTTAATTTATTAATTATAATATATTTTACCTACTTAATATATAGTATATTAGGAATAATATAATAAAGTTAGAAAATAATAATAAAAAAGTTTAAAATAATTATAATAATTAAAAATTTACTAATATTATAATATAAGTATTTTATTATTTTTATTTTTATATAATAAAATTAAATTATTTTTTTAAAATTTTTTAATATTTATAGTATATTCTATTAAATCTTAAAATTTAATAGGAAAAAGAAAAAAAATAATATTATTAATATATTTTTATAATTTTTTTAATTTTTTAATTTTATTAACTTATTATTTTTATATTTTATTATTTTATAATATTTTACTAGTATCTTACTTATATCTTATTTATATAATAGAACTTATTTAAGATATCTTATATATTTTTTAAATTTTTTACTAATTATTAAGTATTTTTATATATTAATTATTATTTTTATTTAATTAAGTATTAGTCTTTACTATATAATTTTTATTATATAATAATCTATTCTACCTCTTATTCTTTCTTATTATTAATAATAACTAGCTAGAATAGTACTAGTAAGTTACTATCTTTTATATTTTATTTTTTAAGAAATAATATATAGAAGATTAAGTAGATTTTCTTATATAATTTAAGTAATTATAAATAATATATTTATTAATTTATTATCTTAATTATTTTAAATAGCTCTTTATATTTAGTATCTAGTTTCTTATTAGGCCTTTATATATAGATATTCTTTATAAATAATAATATTTATTAGCCTATATAATATTTAATTAGGTA